TCAGTACAGGGAATTCTACAGTGTGGGGTTCTTAGCTAGCTTTGCTGTACAGATGTGCAATCATCACTCACCCAGAAGATGGGAGAAGGCTCTCAGTCTTGAGGAGTCTCTCCAGGCAGTGACCTGACCCGAGGGGACAGAAGGGGTTCAGCCTGTCGACTGATCCAGAGGTTACAATGGAGTTTTCCCTCCAACTTCCCCCTCCCCTTTTTTCTTTTTTCTTTTTTTTTCTTGCATTTAGGTGGAGCTTGAGTGACTCTAGTCATACTACTTTTGCTATGGATTAGTGAAAAAGTCTCTCGCTTTCATTCAAAGGTATAGTCAATTGCCAATCTATACAGCATGCTCAGTGAGGAGTGGTTGTACCTCAGAGGCAGCTAATTTTGGGCATGGAGGTGTGCCTTGGCATTATAATGAGCTTATAATGAGGAAGAGTTCAAGCAAAGTCCATCGAAAGGGACTGCTCTGCCACCGTTGTTGGCCCCGCACCAGACATCTTATCGTACCGCGCGGCTCATCAGCTGCACGGCACCATCAGATTGCCACCTCCGCAGGGAAGCCAACAAAGCCTGGCCGTGGTGTCTCCGTTCGGCTCCACTCTTCCTTGACTCCCAGTACCATGTGCCAGGAGGGCAGATTGTGTTGCCAAGGGAATCGTGGAGAAATAGATTCCGTTCATATCAACCATCCTGGAAGTGGTAACTGTCTCTCACCCCAAGCAAGCCTCTGCAATGCCATAACTTCTGTTAGGCTGTAGTTTTTATCTAATTTCCCCTTTCTTGAGCATTTTTCCCACAGTAAGTTAGAAAGATAAGGGTCTTATTTATTTATTTATTTATTTCCTGCAAAATTCAGTAAATTTCTAGAGCTAGATCCAAAAAGCAAAGGAAGAGCCTTTTACGAGAAGCTGAGCAAGGAGATTTACAAGTTGCTGGCCAACTAGTGTAGCAACTAAGTGATGTTTTTTTCCTAAATTTGCTAGCTCATCTTTCCTTTTCAGGACCAGGAGCACTGGAAGCCTCAGGCAAAGAGAGGAGAGGTGCACCCTGGTGCCACTGCCACCTCTCTCAGTAGTGACCCATGCTGGATATCTGCAGCACAGAATGCCCTCCTGGGTCTTCTTCCAACTGCTGAATCTCATAAAACTTGTGGGAACCTGACCATCTTTGAGATAACCATTTCATCTCCAAACTGGACTGAAGTAAGTGAATGGGTTTCAAAACTGAAGCCAAAAACTATCAGTGAGCACCATCTTCCTTTTTGCCTTGGGCTCCTAGAGAGGCTACAAAACTCTCTTGCCCGGAACTGTCACACAGCGTGCGCGCTTCTGCACTTATTTTTAAACCCCCATCCGCCGTGCTCTGGGGGT